ATCCATTACAGGTGTTTACTCAAAAATAATCTAGACTTCTAAACATCCACTCCTTGTTTCCGGATTTCATCCACCCTTGACTTTACAATATCCGCTAAACTAAGTGTCACACTACTTGTTATCTCATATCCTGTTTTATCATGTTTGCCTTCTGAATTCTCTTCATGTCTCTACTTCCTGTTTCATAGGTTTGTTTCTTTGTAACCTCAAGTTTATTCGTTTGTTATGTTTTAATTGAGCTAATAGACTGAGAGAGAGAGAGAGAGAGATGCATCCCTAACGAAACATGTGCGTATAAACATTTTACGGTAAATAATTTATTTAATTTGAATACGTATCTTGATTGGATGAGATTCATTTGTGGTGTTAGAAATCGGAGATGATTTCATCTTGATGCTTCGTACTGAATCCGAAAACAAATACTATGTTGAACCAGGAGGGTTGTTATACTCACAGCACCTAAAAACTTTTATCGACTTGAACAGACTGTGAAGATTAATGTCATGTTTTAAGAGACGGATTATTTGGCAAAAAAATGATCAACGACAATACTGTCTTTGAAGTTGTGAGAATATAATTGTATTGTCGTTCTTTTAGGTGTTCAGCAGAATGATAAATAATGGAAGATTACAAACTGAACAATACAAAATTGTAGGACTTATATAATTAATATTGAATTGAAATAGAATTCTTATTAATATTGTTTACATGAGAAAAATTATCTTCGTACAATGTTTGAAATGATGAATTACTTTCACTAGCTCATTAAAATTTACTCGGTTAGTTGATCAGTTGTGATCTAAAAGTTACAATATCAGGAAAAATGAATTAAATATATACATGTAGAAATACACCACAGAAATAATCATTCACTACAGAACTGCTGTTAAAAACAGAACAACGAAATTGTTAATAACAATGAAATATATATAAAATTGATAAATCAGTATTTAATCACTTCATTTACAACAGGACCTATATGAATGACGTTCAACTGATGTATTACAATCCGTCGTCACTCATATCTCTGAAAAGGGATTGTGTAAGATAACAAATGCCATCAAACTTGTGAAAATATTAAGTCAGGATTAATGTTAATATAACTGAGTTCATTAAAATACCTGATTTATCCTTATAAGCGAGTATAGTTTAATACAACTAGTATAATTACTATCAATCGATACAAGCCGTTAACATATTAACCAAGTAAAATTGAAAATATATTCGTTTAATTTCTTTCAGTTCTCATCTTAAATGGAATTTGAAGATACCTAAAAACGAAGAACCTACATTAATTCGCCATTTCAGAAAACATGTAAAAATAAAATATCAGAGCAATCAAAAACAGATGATCTAATATTCCCACACTAAACTTCGTTTAAGTTTAATTTGAGTTGAAGCCGAAAATTACGCTTATTCTGATCTATGAAAAGTTACGAACGTTTTTACTTCAAATAAACTTGAAGCAACCAAAATTAATAGTATACGAACATGCAAATTATTCTTAAGTTTTTAAAAAAAGAGAAATATGTGCTTGAAACGAATATGTTGCCCTCGATAATTGCAGTTATGTTTAATGTCAACATGCCAGCCTTTATATTTCCTTGATTTATCAATTTTATATATATTTCATTGTTATTAACAATTTCGTTGTTCTGTTTTTAACAGCAGTTCTGTAGTGAATGATTATTTCTGTGGTGTATTTCTACATGTATATATTTAATTCATTTTTCCTGATATTGTAACTTTTAGATCACAACTGATCAACTAACCGAGTAAATTTTAATGAGCTAGTGAAAGTAATTCATCATTTCAAACATTGTACGAAGATAATTTTTCTCATGTAAACAATATTAATAAGAATTCTATTTCAATTCAATATTAATTATATAAGTCCTACAATTTTGTATTGTTCAGTTTGTAATCTTCCATTATTTATCATTCTGCTGAACACCTAAAAGAACGACAATACAATTATATTCTCACAACTTCAAAGACAGTATTGTCGTTGATCATTTTTTTGCCAAATAATCCGTCTCTTAAAACATGACATTAATCTTCACAGTCTGTTCAAGTCGATAAAAGTTTTTAGGTGCTGTGAGTATAACAACCCTCCTGGTTCAACATAGTATTTGTTTTCGGATTCAGTACGAAGCATCAAGATGAAATCATCTCCGATTTCTAACACCACAAATGAATCTCATCCAATCAAGATACGTATTCAAATTAAATAAATTATTTACCGTAAAATGTTTATACGCACATGTTTCGTTAGGGATGCATCTCTCTCTCTCTCTCTCTCAGTCTATTAGCTCAATTAAAACATAACAAACGAATAAACTTGAGGTTACAAAGAAACAAACCTATGAAACAGGAAGTAGAGACATGAAGAGAATTCAGAAGGCAAACATGATAAAACAGGATATGAGATAACAAGTAGTGTGACACTTAGTTTAGCGGATATTGTAAAGTCAAGGGTGGATGAAATCCGGAAACAAGGAGTGGATGTTTAGAAGTCTAGATTATTTTTGAGTAAACACCTGTAATGGATGGAAAACAAGTGAGTTTAGTGTTGATATTAACGGGCAACAACAAGCGAATTATCAGATATTGCAGATTGGAAATTAGTCAAATATGTATTTTTACCTATGTCGCAGCAAAATTAACTCACTGAGTAATTGGATGAATTTCTCGAGAGACCGTTGTACATTAGGTTGGTCGACTTTGGAATTGGACTTGCGCAATAATTTATTTGACTAGTCATTTCTTGGTCAACGAATACATTATTCATTAACGGTAAGAAATAGATATTCAGGGTTCATGCATCAGGTATGATATTTTAACTTCCAGTCAAAAAGCTATTGCTGAAATAAACGCATTCCAGTTACACAGTAGATTGTCTTTAAGGGGAAGTGAAGATTGTTGAATTTCACTCAAATCAAGCACAGAGCAAATTTAGATGGTGGTGGATTGATTAAAGTTAGAGAATAACACAGTTAGATCCGAACTCAGTAATCTAGAGTCTAAGCGTTTGCACATGAGATCAAACTCCCTGGGTTTGATAGCCGCGCGCGAGTCAGTAGATTCGTACTGCTGATTACGTTATGAGGAAGAAACAACCGTTCAGTGCTTTCATCTTCCAAATGAGAGTCTAACATAGATCCGTTCATCAGTTCAATGAGACGTAGCATATCGTTTCCCTATTATAGTTATCCCAATACGTCTACTGGTTAATCGCTTACATGACAGAGCGATTTAATTTCATTCAAACCACATAGCTCGTTTTCTACTCATGATGACCTGGATTTTTCTGTGAAATACAATTCTTTGCTGAATGAATCGATCCGTTAGCCGAGCCATTACTGAATAAACGTAGTTTGGCAACCACACAGTGAGGAATACATTGTTAATAAACTTTATAGAATATGCACAGGTCCTGTAGTTCTATCAGTAACCTAATCAAACATATACGTGAATCTGAGTAAGAAATTGAACAGTGACGGTCACCTAATAGGCGTTGATAATCGCCACTCGTTTCGTAATATACTATCCAATTTGACCATGTTTATTCAGTATTTTTTCATCACAGGACACCTTATATAATTTTTCGGTTGATGTTCTAGGAGCTCACGAATTGCTTTGACATGCCTCACGTAGTGACCAACTTGTAAACCTATTTATGCTTCATAATTTTATCTGACTCTATTTTCTAATTTCACTTGTGCAATTTAGTTTTCTGAGTGACGCAGGTTATTTCATTACGGTCGAGCATTTGAATTTATCCTGAACAATGTCACACTGCATCATTTTGATCAACCAATCTCATATGATGCATAAAATGATTTTCAAACTTATTGGTTTCTATTTGTCTGTGGCAAATGAAAATTCGAACGTAATATTATCTTTATTTTGTTTTACCACGATTTTACTGCTCGAGAATTGAAACTGCTAAAATGTTGATCGGTCTCAATTCTCCGATTAGTTGTAGAGGTTCTTAACCTTCTGGAAATGAGGTTGTTGTTGTTAATAATACAAAAGCATGGAGAATTTACGAAACTCTATACTGATTTCTAAATAAGATCATATATGATAATTTAATATATTATTTGAATTCCATTGTTTTATTTCAAGTTGTACGGTTATTTTAAAATCTCTACTTGTACATTATACTAGTATATCTTTGTCTGCTTGCACATCATTATACTTTATTCTTTTAACATTTGAGATACTTTGAACAGATTTCTATACTGTACCTAGTTTAATTTCAATTCAGATGCAGTTGATATAATACAATTTCAGAATACTCTTGTACCAGTGTAATTATAGTTCTAATACAATTAAAGATAGGTTAAATTCTGGTGTTGATATAATATTACTACCACTTCAATCTATTTTAGTGTTCATCCATTTGACGTCAATTTTGTTCATTATTTTTATCCATATCAATTGGTTTGACAACTTAAATATATATCTAGTTAAAATAATATTCCGATTTCCACTCAATTCATTTATCGGTCTTTCAGAAGAATGATATGGACGCTATATTGTATGAACATGAATTAATATTATTTACCACAAAGATTACAAAAAAATCTGACGTGGATCATTCGGTAAACCCCCGAACATTTAAAATTATGATCCTTAACACTCTCCAATCGGGGTTCTCTAGATGGTACGACTCAGCAATTTAGAAGACCATAAATGAAGTTGTATTATAAGTAGTCATAATGGATCTATTTGCTTAGAAATACAAAAATTACAATCTCTTCTCATGCGTTGACTGTTCAAACTGATTTAGTGTAAACTTTGGGTGTTACAGAGCTACGAAGTGAACGTGAATATAATTGTTCACTATTTAATAGCACACTTTTGAGTCCTTAACTTAAACTAAATTATACTGTCTTTACTCGAAAAAAAAACCAGTTCTAAAATCTAAAAGTGAAGAAGTCATTGACTCACAGCCTAGACTACAACGAGTTAATAAAAAGGTTATTCAAAAATTAAGACAGAATAACAATACTATTTCAACAGTCCAATATTTTTTCATTACGTAAAAAATTTGTTTCTTAAAACCATTTGAACACATCTGACTAACGTTTTAGATATAAATATCCATAGATGTGTTCAATGTTGAATGATTACTTTGAATTCTTTGGTTAATATAACTCAAGTAAAAACCATAAACTCATAACTACAAGGTGTAATTGCTTGCAAACAATATAATTGAAAAAAACTGAATGAACACCTATATTGAACTTTCCGTTTCACAATAATATACCTTTTTAAACCAATTAATTGTAAAATAATGAACAGAATAATTGCATCACAGAAAAAACAAGACTATAATACGGAGAATTCAAAATATTATTCGTGCATAAAAGAAAGTCTGATTCAACATGGAAAGTTTTATCAGCAAACACAATAGAATTCATGAGAGTAACTGACAATGAATTCCGATTCAAACTGATACTTTTCAGAAAAGTAGTCGATCAGTCAATCTTTATTTTACCCAAAGAAATAGTCTGTTACATCTGATCATGAAAACAGTCGGAATGTTGAAATATTAATTGTACGCACACCTGTAACTGTCAGCTAAAATAAAATACTTCTGATACAAAAGAAACCATTAAACATGATGAAACAGACAAATAAGATGCAAAAACATGAGATTTTGACATAAACAAAAAACAAGTGTATCAAAGATAAAAGAAATCAAATTTATCCCAAGATCAGTAGTAGCAAGACAGTGAAAATTTGCATATCGGGTTTATTTGTTACTCTTGCCGGAACGATATGCAAAAATTCGAGTTACATGATAGTAGGATGTGGAGCTGGTGGAAAATTGATAACAAGAAACAATGGAGGTACTGTGGCAGTTTCAATAAACAGTCTTGGGTACACATAACATTTTATACAAACAAAAAACAACATATTAATTATTTTTGCAGAAATACACGATTAAGCACAGCCAGAATAAGATTAACTCCCCACTTATTTTGGGTTAGACTTGAGGGTTCATGAATGGTTTTGTTTAGTTCATAGAGAATTCTCCAAATATTACTGCCACAATACTTGTGGGAACTCGTCGAGTTGAAACTCGTCCGTTTTTGTCTCACCGTTTTTGACAAACTGCAAACGAATCTTCATACGTGGACGTACCTAAATATAAAAAATCACCGTAAGTGAAGTCAGTTAGTTCCTTTTCAAACTAATTAAATGCAAAATGAGTAATAATGTGGTTTGTGCTAATGATGTCAACAGATATAAGTAGTATGTATCACCAACCGAAAGTAAAATGCTTGGAGGCAGAAGGTTAAGAAGAGAACGAGAACAAAGAATGATTGGTGTGGAAACGAAACAACAATGAAATCTGAGACAATTGATTGACATTTTGCAAATGAAGTATTTACTGCATGATTCTCAGATTTTATTAAGACATTTTGTAATTTTATATTCAAATATATTCGATTGTTCCCATTTGTGTTCCCGTTCACTACGATAGTACACTTCAATTGACAGCTAACAGCCACATGTTCGTAAGAGAAAATTAATTCAGTAACGTATGAAAACAATTTTGAATACCATTATCCTCGACACATGTACGAACACACACATGCATCATAAGCCTTAGAATAATGAGAAACTAATCAACAGAATTATGAAGCTGGAACAGTTTCATTTAAACACGCAGCTTGATAACTGTATACAACTAAAGACTGATGGTAAATGATATACATATCTTTTTATTAATAAAGGTTGATCCAGAGCATGATAGTAAGGGAAAACAGAAAAAACCACTTTAGGAAAAAACTATAATTATATTTTTATTCGCTTGAAATCAACTACGACATTTGAGTCTGTTTAATAGAATATAGAATTGTTATTACACTACGCTTTTATAATCGGTTAATGTAAGTTAATGATATCGAATAAAACCTTCACAGAGAACGATTCGGTTACTAACATATTTAGGAGAGTGTCGGGTTGATGCTTAAGGTGTTCGACTTTAAATCACTAAGGCCCACGTTCGAACCACTCTCAGCCTGCTTCTGTTTTGGGATCCGGGTAGTATCATCAGGCTTCACATATAGAGTGTGGTCCATACCAATTACCTGATGACTGAGTTTTAAAAAAAAGTAGTTTCACTTAACATAACAATAAATCAGAAAAGAGTATCTAAAGTGCTTCTGATGAATTAACGAACGCTGGAAAGAAAATCCACCTTATGATTATATCTAGCCAACGACGACGAATTGTAAATCAAATCAAATCGAATATGTCAAACAAATTTCTCATAATTCCAGGAATAATAATAAGTTCCAACAGATAACTTAATTTTTATTAAGAAATGACAAACACAGGGCAAAACTGATGTATTCGATATGAATCAAAAACGAGAAACGAATTCTGTCACATTTCACTGAAATAGCTGGCAAACGCTAAAAAAAAGAAGCTTGCGGAAAAACGAAAATGGATATAAAGCAACCCAGTTTACCTTCGGTGGAACGCTAAGCTTCAACACTTGTGTTAGTGGAGTAGAGTTAGGGCCACATAGAATAGAACTAGATGATGGTGGAAAAAGCTGTAACTGGCAAGACTTGGGCACAGCAGCCTGGAATTCAAAAGAATCAATTGGCTGAAGACTCGTAGTAGTTGCCACTAACTGGATAGTAATTATGTTAAAATGACCATCTAATACAGCAGAAGGCACGAAGTTGAATACAATTCTTATCTCATTCGAATTGTATATCGTGATGGAAGGAACTGACGGGACTAAATTAAGAAATTATTGTAGAAATTGAATGGAGATTACAAACTGTCAATTATTCTGCAAAAAAATTGTAACCCACACCAAAAGTAATAATATTACACTGTAAGAACGGATAAAATTAAGAAAATGAAACTATTTACTGTTGTATTCATGACACCTATCTTGACAAACTGAAATAAAACGAAGAGTAAATACGTAACAATATACAAATCTAAGGAATTACAACAGAATTAAAACAATGGATGATGCGGATGCTATATTCCTAAGTACATGAGGAAGGAAATCATTCTGAAAATTCGTATATCGGTTTTAAGAGATTTTCTTCTAGTTAACTTGGAGTGCATTTTGATTGTAACGATTAATTCACAGTGAATGTTGTTCACTTATTCTTAGTTTATTTCCAATTGTATCAACTCACTCAGTATCCAGTTAGTTATTTGATTTTTCCTTTTATAGAATAATTTACTGACTGCGTATTCGGGGAACAATTGGTCAGTTTGTTAAAACTCTGAAAGAAACTAAGTGATATACGTTGCAAAATAGAATTTTAACACAATGATGTCTTGAGGATATGATTAAAGCTGAATTCGTTACTAAACTTATAGCTAAAAGTTAATAAACGAGTGATTTTTAGAAATATTGTGACTATTAAGTATATTCCTAGTACCCGTCCCCACTTAATTCCGTTGGGTACTCGATACTGAACGCAGCTAATCTTTTGCACAACTAGTGCCAATATATCCGTCGTACCAAAAATACGTAGTGTCCATGCCAAAACTTGTTTAGAATTTATTTTCATCCAGTTGCAGTCGCCGTGGCTGATATTGGCGTTTTGGACTTAACAGACAGAGGAAAAGGACAATCGGGACTCCAGGCCTCTCGTTCAGGTGCATGCGTCATCTGTTGGTCGTATAAGTCCGCGTATCTAAATTTGGCAAACGTATTCGCGGTAATTGTATAAGATAAGGTAATAACAGGGCCAGTTCATGAAAGCACTGAATGAGAAAACTTCATAACAGAATTAAATCAATAAACACTACTACTTATTAATTATATTTTAATTCGTTCATTTTTCTTGAAATTCAGTAAATTTTCGGAAAAAATTGATTAAGTAATGTAACTTGGCCACTCAATTCGAAGAAAGTCTTCCGCAGTTGTTTACTCACACTTTCGGGCTGCCTATCCAGCTGTTGCAAGAAATTTTCCTAGTTAGGATTTACTTCAGAAAGTAAACATGTACTTAAACCGCAAAGAGTGATTGGTTACAAACGAAATTTATATTAAAATGGATCTCATCTCAACAAAGTAAATTTAAGCCTGATAATTTATTACTGTAACTTAAAATATATCATGGAACCAAACAATGGGTAATGAGATATCATTCACACCTATCTGCAATGTCTATGGCTTCTTATCAGTGAGTGAATTATGTTTATAATATGAATGAGGAAATGAGTCATACATTAAATAAATCAACTCATAAATGTGTACACTGTTTTCTGTAATATCCTCATAATTAATGGTATTAGAATGAAATATTCATCCAGTAACGTTAATATAAAACAAAATGATAAATTATTATTATTTTAATAATGGATTTATTCAATATTATATTTTGGTACAATATATAATTCTCAGCACAGGGTGTTTCAACAAGTTTCTTACACAAAAAAGGGGGTTTAAAAATCTGAAAAACTGTACAACTTTTCAAATTAGAGACATGTTAAGAACGCAGGTTATTGACTAGGTTAACTCTAACAACCTGTTCGTCACAGAGTATATTTGCTAGGTAAGGTATTATAGAACTTTTATACTTTTGCTTGTGTGCATGGATTTTAATGAAATTACGTTTCGTTCTACCAGAAGATGTACAAGGATAAAGATATGAATGAAGGGGATGGTTAGTATCTGATAAGATAACACCTGCCAAGAGTTTGAAAGACTTTAAATGTCTATCCACAACCATATTAATGATGACCTCGAAAGATTCACCACACACCTTGCTAACTGACTTCAGCACTCTCCGCAATACAGCAAAGTCTATTCTCAAAAACCCGGGAAAAATAATAGAGAACAGTAAAGAATAAAAGGTAATATGCAAGAATTGACAAATTGTAAGAGTAAAGGAAGAATAATTCCAAGAGTATGCAATCTCTTTATGTAGTAAGTCAGACGGAAAACTTTCTTCGATAACAATAAAACGTGAGAAGACCAAGAGAGATCAGAGGAAAAGGTAACACCAAGATAATTGACCTTCGACACTGTTTATCAACGAGTCTCCAACGGCACAAGCGTTATGGGATCTCAAAATGGTGTTTAGATGCCGTTCATATCTCATGCTAAAGTTAACAGCTTGACATTTAGACGGATTAAGTATAAGACTATTACCAACAGACTAACAATCAAAACGAGACAAAAACTCATTCATTTCTATGGGATGTAAAGAGGAAGAGATAGGCATACATACAGTGAGATCATCCGCATATTTCACAAAAGTGTTTTCTGTGGAAGATGGCAGATCATGCAGAAAAAAAAGAGAAAAGAAGAGGTGAAAGAACAGTTGCTTTTGGTACACCTTCATGAGACAGTAGAGGCTCTGAACACTTTCCTCTAAATAAAGTGTACTGATACCTTCCAGAGAGGTAGGAACATAGCCAGTTGGTTATCCAGCTGTCAGTGTTGACGCTGACTAACTTGTTAATTAAACGTTGTCTTGGTATAGAATCAAAAGCTGAAGTATAGTCCAGAAAAGCGCATCGAACATACTTCTTACCGTTTTCTAAGTTGAACACTATGTTGTTATGCAGAACAGCAACAGCATCTAAGGTGCTTCTTTTGCATCTGTAGGGAAACTGATACGGATCAATATGCTCTTTTATCGCAGGCTCAAGTGGAAGTATTAATAAATTTTCCATTGTTTCGAGGAAGGGTAAAGTTATTGCAATAGGTCTAAATTTCACATTCTTATCACCAGATACTTTCTTGGGTACATGGATTATCTTCAGCTTTCTCCACATCTTCCGTATGAGATTATATGAGAAGGATCTGTTAAAGATAGTCATGAATAGATAACATAGGACGTCAGCACATTTTTTTTAAAAGGTTTGGAACACCATCAGGTCCTAAACATCGGGATGAATTAAGTGACTGAAGACATCTTCGGGTATAAATTTCAGTGAAAGTAGGAACACAGCTATTCTTTAAACCTGTGGATGAAGGGAGCATTACATCAGATGACTGACGTACAAAAGACTTATTTAAGTCACAAACATTCAGCTGGTTATCTCTCCGAATCCGTCTGTCACCTGTAATTTCTTTAAAGAGTTTCCACATATTTGGAGAGTTTTTGAGTAAACATAGAATTCAGACGTCTAATCTCTAGGTTTTTCAGACCATTTAGCTTACGAACTTCATTAGAGTTTTTCTCCTTGTACATTTTTTCTTTCACCCTCCTTAGTCGTTTTAGTTGTGAAGATGTAAGTCGATCAAAACTTACAAAAATGGTTTCAGTGGGACAACAAATATCAAAACACAATTTAAGGTAACACATGATAACATCAGTAGTGAGTTCCAGTGAGTCATCTGTAAATAATTCCCAGTTAGTCGCATGAAACATGTTTTGCAGATTTCGAATGTTTTCTTTTGAGTAATTCCTATATTTGACTTTCTTGGTTTGATGTAAGAGTGTACTCTTCCCATGCTTTCCATATACTTTAGGTAGTACACGAATTATACAGTGATCCGAGCTAGACAATGGAGCATGTTTACGAGTCACATAAATACCCACACCATTAATGAAAACGAAGTCTAAATGAGCATCCAAATGAGTAGGAAAACCTACTACATTTTGATGACCTAGTGACGTAAGGAAGCTACAGTCACATGAATTGAAATCACCACATACAACTGAAAGTAAATCACTGAAGGAAGTAGCAGTGAAACTCAGTGAATTCACCAGCGAAAACAGATAGCGCAGATGATGTGCAGTCTGAAGTCACGTAGATATAGGTAACATAAACATATTTGTATTAATTTAGATGTTTTGGACGACATCTTGGAGTTAGACAGTCGATAAAGTCATTTGAAAACTTCAAGAACACAAACAAAGATGGACACTAGTTTATGTTTACAAACTTAGCTACACCGCCACCACACCTCTTTTTATTGTCTGATCGATCCTGACGATAAATTTTGAAATCACGTAGTGATACCAGGCAGTCATCCTGTAAATCATTTAACCAAGATTCTTGAATTATGATGACACCACAATTACGATACGTATTTTGACTTAGTAGGAATTGCAGATAGTCCACTTTGTTGATTAGTAATCGGCAGTTAGAATTTAGCAGCTCGGGAATAGACATACGATTAATGTTCATTCTCTTTAAAGCATATTGCCAACCACCACGATGTCTTTTATAGTACTTTTTTGTAACTTGTACAGCGAAAGGTCGTAGGCTTTTCATAAACGCGCCTGTATAGGTTATGCGATTAATGGACATAATGAGACGTTAAAACAAGTGAAAAAAACAGATAACTTGTTGAAATAATGAGATAGCAGAAACAGGTAGCTCAGATATTCAACCAGGCCGCCGTAAACCCTGTGCTGAGAATTCCATATTGTACCAAAATATAATATTGAATAAAGCCATTAATAATAATAACATATCGGCTTTTTGAAACTTTACACTTCCTAAACTTATTATTTATTAATGCACATTTAATTTTCAATAAAATTGCGATTTTAAAAACTAAAGTTTTATTAGCCATATCATCTTTTGTAATTGTTACGGAATAATTGGGTCTTTCTATTTCTGATTCAGGATTAAATATTCAGAGCTACTTACTATTTTGATGCAATACGGAACATAAAAGTAGAGGTGGCTGTCTATTATACGCACTGAATTGTCGAACTAGTAAAGTTGAAGTGTTCCCAACACTAATAAAATCAGTTTGATTCTCGGTAAACCTCACGATCCACAGTACACTTATAGGTTGTGTATATAGAGATCTAGACACTCTGATTACTGCGAACAATCTCATTCCTAGTGCATTTACACATGCTTCTGTTTAGAATTTTGCTGTGAAAGTCATTAGAGGAGACACCAAATACTGAGATATAATTTGGACTATTGGTATAGGTTAGTCCAGTGATGAAGAATTCGTAAATACACTAGACATAAACTACTGGTCACATCTCAACAAGATGTGATGACACCCTCAACTTAGTTTTCCGTCGAGATATGTCACTATCTGTACAAGTAGATTCGAAATTAAAAGCAGTAAACATAAAATGATTGTCGATTCTCCTTTAATTATTATCAACCCTAAAAATACCCTTCCCTTACAAAAAACTACCTACTATCGGGACCAAAAATGTGAAGAGTGGGACTTCCTGGAAACCCTGTTAAGGTGTTCATAATGGAGTAAATTCTCCAGTAATAACCGCGTAGATGGACTGGAAAATGTAGTCAAATCACTAGTTCGTGCCTAAATTCCAATCCACCTTTGAAAAATACAAGACTAGTAGGCCTAATGGAATATTCATACCAGTTAACTGTCGTAGTAAATTAAGATGCTTGCAGAAGCATTAACTTAGGTCGAATGATTTTTGTGTAGTTGAACAAAGAAATATAATTTTTAATCAAACTACAAAACTCAGAAGTTAAAAGTCATTAATTTATGAGTTACCAGCACATGATAGCAACTCAGAGTTACAAAAACTTAATTTTTCGTTTCAATAAATGCATTAGATAATCGCAAAATCGAGATAATCCCTGATTCTTGGACAACTGTAAGACTAAGAGTTGCGAAATACTGGGCCGAAATGAAGATTTACTGAAGATCATACTGAAATGTGGAGATAATAAGATGTTTCTCAAAGATAACAAGCATCTCCAAAAATGTAGCTCTTTAAAGGATGAAAGGAAGATGTTGGTAATATCTTACGTCGAATATAATATACATTTCGGCTTTCGGGTTTCCGGAGCAGACAAAAATGTCTAAAAATCGGCGATCTAGAATTTCAAAACCAGATATTCGAAAAATAAACTGGAGAAGTTTCCCCTTAAGCTCTGTAGGTGGAAGGAGCAACCGTAGTAATCAATTTTTTAAACCTGCCAAAAAATTTCCTACCAGGATATAGGTAGGTAGGATAATTAATGGTCATTGACAATTATGAAACAAAAGAAAAAAATAGGTTAACTGACCTTGATTTGTCAAACTTGGACCAGAATCATTGACAAAGTTGAAATCCAAGACAGAAGGCTGAGGAGCAGGCTGAATAATAGGGGCACCAAAACCATTTTTAGTGCCAAATAAATCACTTGAAAATCCTGTTGCATTTTGAGTATTGCTAGACACTGTCATTTCAGATGGAGCAAATACATCAAGAAGATCTAGTAAGTTAGTCCCAGTATCAGAATGATTCGTGGTTGCGTTTTGAGCTATTACAATAAAAGATGAACGAAGCACAAGTAGGTCATAAAAAGGAGTGAAATTCTATTTGTTCATCCTGAGATTCTGTTTTATGCCTGAACTATGAAATTAAAACTTGATGCAGAAATGATAATCCAACAAGTTTCCAAAGAAGAAAGAGTAGACTGACATAAAAAATGGAAAATAATAGATTCATAGAACTTTGGCTCAATAACGAGCACATAAGTAGCGGATAATGATCAAATTTATTTATGAGATAAATAGATTTAAACATACACTTGAGAAGTAATTTTCACTGAAAATATCACTTATAGGAAATAAAATATAGTGCTTACTCATGTGAGAATCCGATTCGCTTTCTGGACCCAATAAATCGAAAATGGTAAGCGACTGAGACTGATTAGTTGAGCCATTAACTGACAGAGTTTTTGCAGCTCCTATGTTACCTTCTTCAGATTCGACACCATCACCTTCATTAATTCCACGACTCAAGTTATCTGGATTCGAAGTTCCAGACAAAGCATTTGTTGGTAGTACTGGCATACAATCAAGCAAACCACTACGAATACTTATAGGTTGCGAGCAAATTTTGCTGTATTCAACAGAACGCTGTTGCAGCTCCAGATTCACATTAGTCGAATAAAACTTAATGAGCTCTTTTAGTTTTCTGTCACGACAAAATATTATGAAATTAACAGTAAAGAAAAATTATAGTGACTATTACAATATAAAGAAATTATAAGATAAAGGCAAACATTTAAAACAAAAGTGACATATCAGTAGTGAATTCCTCCTGAAGCGCTTTTGACGTTAATGTCAGTGCCAAGCCCACACAGAAGACGGTTCTTTAAAGAGGTAAGGAAACCCGTAGTGTCAGTCGTTACATCGAGCCCATACAGCGTATTCTAGCTTCCGAGCACACAGACTTGAATATAAAACTTAGGCTACACTTTGATGTTGTTATTTATTCGCTCGTCCGTTGTAACAACTAGAGCAACAATTAATATAGATACATGGAATGATTGGACAATGTGGGAGACCGAGAGGACCAGTCAAATAGCAACGGAAATGAAGGGATACAACTTGGCGGTTCTTGGAATAAGTAAAACCCATTGAACCCAAGCTGGACAGAAAAGGATAAATTCGAGAGAGATGCTGTTTTACTCGAGTCACAAAGAAGAAAGTGCTCCACAAACTTAGTGAGTTGCTCTGATGCTGTCCAAAGAAGCACTAAATGTACTTATAGGATGGGAATCTCATGGATCCAGAATCATCAAAACATCAATCGAAACAAAGAAGAAGGGAATCACAATGAATGTTATCCAATATTATTCACCTACCAATCCTAACAATGAAGACGATAAAGATCAGTTTTACGAGAGGCTGCAACCGATCATAGCGAGGTGCTCAAGAAAGGACCTGACTATCCTTATGGGAGACCTAAACCTCAAAGTCGGAACGGACAACGCCGGGTATGAAGGTATTGTGGGACGAAATAGATTGGGAGAAAGTAACGAGATTGGTGACAGATTTGCAAACTTATATGTATTTACCGAAATCGTTATAGACGGCACAATATTCCTTCACAAACGCATACACAAAGCTACATGGGTCCCACAGGATTACACTACAGAAAAACAGACCAATCATATCTGTATCACTACAAAATTCAGCAGGTCAGCGAAAGATGCGAGAATCAGGAGAGGAGCTGACATGACTTCAGATCACCACCAACTGGTGGTTGCCAAGATGAAACTGAAGCTAAAGAAGTAATGAACAACTGGGGAAACAACATTACAAAGGTTCGAAACAGCCTTCCTTCCAGATACTGACAAACCCAACGAATTCAAGATATCTCTCAACAACAGGTTCCAAGCCTTACAAAATCTACTGGGAGAAGAGGAAACTACTATGGAAAACAATTGGAAAGGGATCAGAGAAGTACTAACTTCAACGTGTCGGGAGGTTCTGGGTCTCAAGAAGCATCATCACAAGGAATAGATCTCTGTGGAAATCCTGAACAAGACTCAAGAAAGGAAAAATAAGAAGATAGCACTTAACAACAGCCGAACAAGAACAGAGAAAATCAAGACACAAACTGAATACACTACAGCAAACAAACAAGTAAAGACAAGCGTTAGAGCTGAAAAGCAGAAATACGTGGAAGACCTAGCAACGACTGTGAGAAAAGCTGATAAAGAAGGAAATATAAAACAACTATATGACACGACGATGAGGCTGATAGGGAAATATAGTAAACCAGAGAAGTCGGTCAAGGCCAAAGAAGGCAGGCCCGTCGCTGAAACTCAAGGAGAGAGGAACAGGTGGGTAGAGCACTTTTAAGAACCCTTGAATAGACCTGCCCCGCTGAACCAATCGGACATCGGAGCTGTACACATAGACCTATTTATGGATGTCACTCCACCACCTATCGAAGAAATCAGGATGTCCATCAGACAAATGAGGAGTGGGAAAGCGGGAGGACCTGACAACATACCAGCCAAAGCACTGACTGCAAACATGCTCCACGTTCTATTTAGGAGGATTTGGGAGGAAGAACAAGTGCCACTGACAAACTGGAAAGGACACCTAATCAAGATATCAAATAAAGTAAATCTGAGCAAGTGTGAGAACTACAGGGGTAATTGACTACTCTGAGTTCCAGGAAAAGTTTTCAACAAAGTGTTGCTGAACCGGATGAACGATTCAGTAGACGTGCAACTTCGAGATCAACAGACCGGATTCCGTAAGGATAGGTCGTGCACAGACCAAATCGCTACACTACGGATCATTGTTGAGCAATCAATTGAATGGAACTTGTCACTATACATCAACTTCCCTGACTATGAGAAAGCGTTTGACAGGAAAATCTTATGGAACCCTCTTCGATACCATAGTGTATCTGAGAAAATCGTCAACATCATCCGGAATTCATACAACAGACTACACTGCAAAGTCGTGTATGTAGGACAGCTAGCCGACAGATGCATTCCAAATGAGAACCGGAGTCAGGCAAGGCTGCTTACACTCGACCTTTCCCTTTCTTCTGGTGGTTGACTGGATTACGAAGACCTCGACATCTGAGGGAAAGCACAGAATACAATGGACAACTCAGAATAAATTAGATGATTTGGACTCCGCCGATAAAGAATATATTTCCCTCTTCCGAATTCGGACTGCTTTCTCTAGGTAGCTGGGTTTGGACGCGTCGGAATAGCTATCTAATCTGTCATAGTGTCACAGAGTCTTCGTTCCGTTTTTCAGATTAACTGAACTCGTAATTTCTCCAAACGTAGCACTAGTACTTATAAACAATAGTCTACCTAAGGTACTCAATGTCCGTTGACCGGATAACATCAGCAACAGCCTACTGCGGGAGACAATAAACCAGCTCCCAGATGAGGAGGAAATTAGGGAAAGTTGAAAGTTGATAGGACATACATTGCGGAAATCACAAAACTACATAACGAGGCAAGCACCAACTTTGAAATACTGAAGGTAAACGGAAAAGAGAACAGTCAAGAAACACGCAGCATCCAGATTTGGAAGCAGATATTAAAAGGATGAATAGCGACTGCGAAGGATTGCACAGAACAGAGTTGGATGGAAAATGCTGGTGTTTGGCCCATGCTGCTCCACGAGGGGTAGCAGGCGTAAGGAAGTAAATATGAAATAATCTTACTGAAAACTTACTCTAAATGTGTTGGAGTAAAACGGGTGGTTAGTTTAACAAGTGTGTTTACAACCATTTGTTTTGTTTGCACTGTCGATGTCACACTAACTAGAGCACGCTGTAACACAGCAATCAATTCTAATTCAGTAACTGGGTTCGGAATATCTTCAGAAGGTTCTGGCGAAACCAACAAATCACCATATTCCCCGATTGTCCAACACGCTACCTATAAAAGAATTTTTAATATTTGGTGAGAAACGATAATTTTACTGAATTATGGCATGTATATTCAACTAGAATTAAAAATTCCGTGATAAAAATATAGAACATGCTTTGTGGAATGATAACAATCAACACGACCAAGAAAGAATTAGAAACAAAATTACAATGGCGTAATCAAAGCGACAAACCCACCAAACTGACATATCTCAATGTAAAGTCACTAAAAACTGGTAAAACTTTTCTAAGTTCAAAAAAAATTAATTTTATGTACATTTAAAAATGATAGGTTTTTGGTTGTTTTATAAAAATCAAGATCCTCATTTAGTCAAATGTTTGCTATATGGAGTAAGTTCATTATCTAATACAAAAACCAGTTATTGCAACTGAGACACAAAAGATTTATATCCATATACTACCTTCTACATATCAAAAAAACCTGAAAAGTAGAAATAGATTAGGTTTCACTTGATTGAGCTATTCCCGCCCTAAACAGATAGGTCGAAAAACAGTTCCCTTGCAGCTATGAGGATAGAAATCTATGCTTTTACTATCTAATTTACTCAGCTGATTAAAAGTATAGCGCTTTTTATCTACATAGCGAGAAATAATGGAAAACTTAAAGCATGTCAAAGAACCACATAAAATATATACATTACAGTTACCAAGCAGCATCAATGGGCTTTAGGAGGACAAAATAAGTTGAACATTACTATACTTTTAACAACCAAGTGTAAATAAACTACTACTATTTTTATCTGCAGTGAAAACAATGTGAAAGTTCCTGGGTTCGAATTCTCTAATACAAAAATCGTGCGCTAATACATATTTTTACAACATACGCTATCATGACAAATTTCATTCAGATAGAACTACAATTCAGAAGTTACATTAAAATTAACCTTAGGAACCTAATGAAAACTAATTTTCATTAAGAAAGAATACTGAAATTAAATTGCTTGTTCTGCTTCACTGTCAACTCAAACATTAATTGCTTTTCTTTAATTTAGACAAACTTATTTCGCTATTCGATTTCGTAGTTTCGATTCTGTATTAATTTGTATTTCATTCAGCAGCTCGTCTGTCGAAAGTACTGACGGTTCCTAACAGCCCCTCGGGGCACGCTGGTTTACTGTGGTGGGACGCAAGTTTGACGTTACACATTGATTCGTGAAACAGATTATTTCGCAATGTAAGCACAGAGAAACTTAGATTCCAGAGCATGCTACGAGTTTCGAACAGCTATTTCATATCATTTCAGACACAAACACGAGGTCTAGTATCAGTAAAATAATCTGTGAAGCTAAAAACATCCCAAACAGTAACATCAAATGGCATTTCTGTGATAAATAACGATTATTTGGACGGACAGTTCAGCTAAGATGCTGTCCCAGCAACATCGATCGGACTGTTCTATTATCCATAGTCGATGAAAAGTGATACACATACACACAACAAGGTTACAAGCAACTCCAACGTCTGAAACACCAGACTCAGACGACTTACTAATGACTCCGTTTAAGGATGGTGGCTACCATCTGATCACCGAACTGACTGCGTTGTTCGCAAGGGTTTAGGAAACAGTGTTCCAACATCCGGGAATAAAGAGGAGGTTGCCCTCAGCTTTAGAAGCTCCGTAGGTCTTTCATGTAACAGCTACCAAAGGATAAGTTAAATGCCGGCGGCGTCCAAACTATCGTTCACTTCAGGACATGGTACCAAAGTATGCAAAAAAACTGTACGGGACTGGGACATTTCAGTTCCTCACTGCTCCCTGGTTAGGATTCTAAGGATTATACAACTTAGTGGCTTGAGACATTACCAAATGTGAGTGGAAACAGAAGCCAATGGAGATCCTGCAGAAGCTTTCTTTTACATTCTTCATATAGAAAATTGAGAGGACGTGGCTTAACTGAGAGATGTGTTGCTGGTTGTATTTTTAACTGAACTATATATTCTATCATATACTATTCTCGGCCACTCATTATTATTATTATTATCCCTAACCATTTGTTTATTTTTGATTGTACTTCCTCTTCCTCACCTACCTCTTGACAATTCCATTTCACTATTGTTTAGCGCATATTTTGTTGCCCAGCTGTGCCAGTACTTATGTATATTATATAAATAATGCTCCTGATACATGAATGGCATTGGTAGATGTATAGACACTTCAATTATATCTCTGAATACTGAGAACCTAGGATAAAGATACAGTACTGACACCCGGAATCCAAATTTAACAATATTTCGTGGTTTTAATTAATCAGAAAAACTGAACGGTAATATGGAAGGGAATTACAATATACCTGAACCAAAGGTTGTTGAGACATGGCTCCATTCATAGCACTGAATAGCTGAACGGTAGCGTACGCATGTAGACTAGGATTTTGAGAAATCAGGCTAACCAGAGATGAGACGACATCATCCCGAGCATAGTTTCCAGCCTATCAAAATAATAACATACAATTGGAAAATGCAAATGATAATAGCTAAAAGAAAAGTTCTAGAAGTACCTTTTAGATTTCTGAAAAGAATTCTTGCAGAAACCGAATAGAGTTCGATTAATGCAAGTTAATTAACAACAACATTTAAACTTGCGACGGTAAATGTAGCACCGTTTCTAAAGCATTCTCCTATACGTACATTCAAACCACCTAATCTGAACTACATACAAAAGCATAACTCGGGAAAATTAAAGACAATATGTCCAAGCATTAATATACAGGGCTCAACTGATCCGATCCAACAGCAAAAATTTACAAACCCTATTTGCAAACGACATATTTTACAAAATTCCTATCTACCTTTCCAATAATATAAACTTCTCTTACTGATAGAGTTTTGCAAAATACTTAAGCGAAGAAATCAACAACGAAACAATATGGCATTAAAAAAGGTTTATAATCTTGTAGTTTTTATAGAATAAAACCAACTGAATTAAACAGCTTATGAATATCCTAAAGGATAAATTCTAATAAAACAACGACATATGACAATCATAAGAAAAAATTAGGCTTTTTAATCCAGAGAACATAAAAAGTAACCAGAGCAACGAGAGGTATCACGATACCATGAATGGTCTTTTGAAACAACTCGTGAGAGTTTGAATATAATTTATATATGTACAAATTATTTGGAGAATTTCAAAACAAAATAAAAACCTACGGTGGTTAACAATTTCATCATGGTGTCTACATGCCACCTTTTATTTGGAGCATATTTCTCGGCTGCTATTGAGATATTTGAACAAACATCTCCTTTGAATTCATTATCACAACTTTGTAAATAAAGTAGAAGTTCCTTGGCCATTGAACAAACATTCGTATGATTTGTTAATGCAAAGCATAAATCGATAGCACGCCTGTAAAATCAAAGAAATCTTCAGTTTAATTACACAAAGCTGATGTTTGATTATCTAATTTACGTGTTGAAACATGATGGTAATTTTACTAGAATACTGAACACTATATATATTTATTACAGTTGAACACAGAAAACTAAACATGATTAAGTAAACATTGATTACCAATAGACAATTCGGATAAACTTTGAACGGGGAAGGAGATTCATCTATCATTTATGAACTTATAATATCAAAGTGTAGAGAACCAAAACCACAAAATTGGATAGTTACTTTTTATTGAAACACACGGTGAAACCATTTTTTTAAAAATTGAATGACTTGAATCATACTCAGCTTTTATATTTACAAAAACCGACTAACCTTTGTATCGAAACATCAGGATCCTTCAAACAGTCCAATATTGTCAATCTGTGTCTCTGTACAGCTTTAGAATCAGCATGCACAACTCTCAACAAAGTATTGAGAGCGACGTAGCGAATGTCTTTGTCAGTATTTAGTAGAAACCGACCCAAAATATTTATGGCAAGAACCTTTAGAAGAATTAGAATATAAATGGATAACAGAACGCTCATTTTAGAATAATTTCCATAGCTGTTAAAAGGCATCAAACACTAGTATGGTTCCTAAAGATTAGTTTAATTTCACTCATTACTTCGCTTCCAGCCACATTCTAAGTATAAGAGGTAGTGATACTACCAAACCAGTTCCCGAATCGAAGTACATGGAATGGGGTTTAAACATATTATTTAGTGGTTTAAAGTCGAATGTCTTACTAGAAGCTAGGAAATTGTTAGTTAAACCTCGATGGACGAGTAATAGTTAGCACTAAAAGTTATTTTATATCTGAATAACTTGTAATACGTATTTATGAACCCTAACAAGCTTCTCTGCAAAATAAATTCAGAAGCAACAAACGACTAAATTTCTCTACATGACCATGAATAATTACTATATTAGAAACAAAGTAGTAATTTTTCGGGTACACAATGATCTCAGAATGGTAACAAAAAAGTAAAAAATGGTGCGAAGCATATTCTCGAAGTAAGACGTACGAATATTTATCTGAATGTTAACAAAGCAAATCTAACTTGAATGATTAGGATCCCAGATCATAGTTTCGTCTGTTTGACGATATGTTATTAACCATCTATCTAATGTTACTATTCATCTTAATATCTAATTCTGAAGCAATATATAAAAGAGAACAAACTATTAAGTATACTAAACTGTTCAATGATAATGTTTATTACGAAAAGATAGCAAATAACATCCTCGATCTAACCGAGTAAAATATCCTCATAACAAACGTACTCGCAATCCTGGATCTGATTCTATTCCCATTATTGTTAACACGATTTCATAGAGAATCGCATGACCAACATTTTTACTCGTCTCAGTATTTGTAGCAACCTATAAATTTCAAAAGTGATCATGTCAAAGTTAACAAACAAATAAAATAGAAACACTTCAAGAAACCCGAGGTTTTAATTGTTTGAAAAATAGCAAAAGAAGTACACTGATGATTCTATAAACCTGTGCTCATCAGGATCGTTGATCTTGCTTAGATGATCAACATTTATATTGTTAGCGGGACATAGACTAGATTAAAGCATGCTCAATGCATGATTGCTTTGGTGCACGCTGATTGGCTAATTCTTATCCAATCAGCGCTAGTCGATAGTTGGAGAATATTCTGGATTTTTCTTATGTAAAAACTATAAATATACTGACGTTTTCCCCTATTGTGCTTCCTACTGGTTTCTGACTTCCTATTTGGAATATAATCTCTTTCTTGTTCAACCGTGTTCTGATTTGGGGACTTGTCGAGTGAATCGGTGTCCGAGAATACCAAGCAATAGGAATAAGCTGGGTCATAAACTGTAAGAAGAAAGAGAGAGATTATAACACATATTGAAGTATGTGTGCTGAGAGAAAAGGGAAAATAGTGGAGTTTAACGACTTGAAACTAATCCATAAATCCGTTGAATATAGGAATGTTGAATTAATATTTAGCTAATACAAGAAATGATCAGAAAATTTCAGTAAAATAGTTCGGAATCAACAAGTATGAAGCAAGTGAGTTGGCTAATCGGCTATAAAAATTCTCTTACTATTGGACACAATAATGGTAGTAATAATAACTATGACAACAGTAATAGAGAAGCCACTACTTTTACTGATATATATATTCTAGTTCGGAAAAAATCAAAATACTCAGAGCAATATGTTTATAAGACTGAAAAAATAACTACATATTTTTGCCGTAAACATATTGAATACTCATGTGACTTTCGGGAGGTCCTAGCAACAGCTAAAAGTATCACTTATATACTTAAAAAAGTGATCAATCTTTTCAAGACCACTAAGAGTCGGTTAGTCATACCACTGTCTAACAGTCAGATTAAAATACTATCATTGAGAAGTGCACTACGAGATGTGGTTGAATTTACAGCATTTAGAAAAGATCACTTTATTTCAGTTAGCCAATAATCAATTTTCTAAAGTACAAGACAATAAACAACCAACTAGTTTATTAATCTCTTATTGAAGAATTCATACACTAATTAGTCACTACAGTGCTATTAGTCATGTTTATACATGTTGCCACGTCGAATAATTACTTGAAACAAATTTGTGTACTCATAATTGTCTTTCTGATCATCACTCTAGTGAGGATAAAATGCTTTCATTAAGAACTCATGATTGAAACTATTTGACATTGGTAAGTCAGTTCGAGTCCAGTCATTTAATCACACGAAGATATCTAAGTATTAAGTAAACCACATTGTCTTTAAGGTGGAACTGAAAAAAAGTTACTCACTGATGAATTACATTCATTCTTCTTGATTATTAGTAGTCATTCAAGTTAAGAAACTTAAACTTCCTTAATTAAGCACATGCAACCTATAACTCATAAAAAACTCAGTCGAATTGTCGGTTCCATTCTATTGTTTCCCTGTTGTTGACTTTTCCGCGTGTGTGAAGTCTAGCAACTTGTGTTGTTAAACAATTTCATCAAGTTCAGCGTTGTTCACATCTGGCCGACTGTTTGACTTAGCCGATGTTCAGTGAGTTCTCAACCCAGTTAAGTGGATGATAATGCTTACGGAAATAACCTTGGGAAAACTTAAATCGTAATGTTTTCCCAACACAAATAGCAGAATATTGTAAGAACATCCATAAATATCATTCACCTTCAAATAGAACTAGCGATAAATAATAAATGCGATACCATATTTAAAAATACGTTTTCGCGAACTTTAGTTCATGACTACTGAAATATAAAAATTGGACAACAATAAATACTATAAATGCTTATAATCCCAAATATGAATATAAACTTGCCTTCTTTTTTATGTAAGCATTTGATGATCGTATTAGTCGCTCAACTTCACCGGCTAGATCTCTGCTCATTTCAGCAGAGCATATACTTCCCAAAGTGCATAGAGCCAAACTAACAACATATGGAGTAGGATGATTTAAATCACTAATAATGTAAAAAAAATTATGAGTATGCATCACGAAAATTACGAAAAGCCATTAAACAATGACAGGAAACAATAAGCTTTCCTCAATGACAGTTAGAGTGCAGAAGGCAAAATAAAAACAGTTTGATTTACTTATTTGAACACAAATATCGGTACAGCTGGGCAACAAAATATGCGCTAAACAATAGTGAAATGGGATTGTCAAGAGTTAGGTGAGGAAGAGGAAGTACAATCAAAAACAAACAAATGATTAGGGATAATAATATTAATAATAATAATAATGAGTCGGTCAGTCAGCTACAACGTAGGATCAGGCACATATATGCATCGGTCCAAGTTGCCACACCTCATTAACACGAGATGGACACCGGATTCATAAAAGTAGTTAATTCAGAGGTGGTAATATATAAAAGAAAGATTCCAATAAGGATATATTACAAGAAGAAAGAATTAGTTCGTAGAAAGATATGAGACGATTTTAATCTCACGGTTGAAGGGAAGACAAAGAGTGTATACACCGACGACATTGTGATCGATTCTGAGCCATGTCACCAAGAGTCTCCAACCATTGGTTATGATAGTCACGCGGACCCCAACCAAGTAGTCTGCATCTACCAACATGGCTCAGACTAGAAGTTAGTGACTTCAAGCAATGATGCGACGTTTTGGTTTGGCCGCCCCTAACTTTCTCCCAACCATCTCCAACACCGGTTAGCATTGCACGTCGTGGTAGTCGGTGTTCAGGCATACGTAACACGTGGACCGGCCATCTCAGTCGATGAAGTTTCATAACCTCATCATCCCTAATACCCTGCGTCTAACCTCACTATTACTTATCCGGTGATCCCACCAGATTCCAGAAATATTTCTAAGGTATCTGTGGTCAAATTCTAGTAGCTTACGAGTATCTTCTACTCTTAATGACCATGTTTCGCTGCCGTAAATTAAAACAGAACGAACTGTTGCACAGTATACTCGTCCTTTTATTGATAGACGGATATCTCGCGTTCGCCATAGGTGACGTAAGTTGGCAAAAGTTAAACGAGCTTTTCGAATCCGTGCTGAGATTTCGTCCGATACCAGCCCATTAGGGTTGATCAGACTTCCAAGATAAGTGAAGTTGTCGACGCGTTCGACCACTTCACTCCCTATCCTTAATTCAGGTGTTGACGCAGACCAGTCCTGAAGCAACAACTTCCATTTATAGGGAGAGAAGCGCATTTCAAACATTCTGGCATTGTTGCTTAATGCTACCAGAAGACTCTGCATTTCATCAGCGTCTTCATCAAACAGGACTGTGTCATCTGCGTATTGTAAGTCGATAAGCGGACCTCCTGGAAGGAGATCAATACTCGAGAATTCAGTAGACGAGAATGTTATTTCCATCAGTAGGTCTATGATAAAGCTAAACAAAAATGGAGAAAGTGGACAGCCTTGACGGACACCACTTGAGGTTGCATAATCAGATGACAGTTCGCCATAAGCTCTGACTTGACTGGTAGTGTTCGAGTAAAGAGCCTTCACAAGGTCTATGTACTTCTGAGGTACGCCTTTCAATGACAGACACTGCCACAGAACCTCTCGGTCTACAGAGTCAAATGCTGCTTTTAGGTCAAGAAAGACCACCATTGTCGGACGCCAGTAGGTATGCCTATGTTCTAGAACCTGACGAATGGTGAACATGTGGTCGATGCAGCCACAACCAGGTCTGAAGCCAGCTTGATTCTCTTGTGTTTGCAGTTCACGAGTCTTAGTTAAGTGTCTGATAATTATCGAGGCTAGTATTTTAGATACTATATTAGTTAAACTAATCCCTCTATGGTTGTCACAGGATGATTTTAACCCTCTCTTATATATTAGGACGATCAGTGATTGTGACCAGTCAGATGGGATAACGTCTAACTCCCAGATCTTATTTAAAATATTAGTCAACCTAATCGCTAAAATTGGACCACCATCCTTAAAGACCTCTGGAGCCAATCCATCTGCCCTTCCTCGTTTCAGATTAACTATAGCCTTTTGAACTTCAGCTAGAGTTAGGGGACCTACTTCAATGTTCCATTCACACTGTCTGGGAATGGAGGGTACTTGTTGAGTAGCTGAAGGTCAGCTGAACTGTACTCTAAAATGTTCCGCCCATCGTTCTAAACGTCTGGACTGGGACCAGATGAAAGTGACATCTTTTTCCGAAATAGTCTGACTTGCACTTGACTTATTAATTCCAGTTTCTTTTATTAGTCTGTAGAGCTGTCTTGTGTTCCCTATAGTCGCCGCCTTTTCCATCTCTTTTGCTTTCGTTGCCCAACACTACTCACGGTCGTTTCTTAGACTTTTGCATAACTTAGATCTCATTTCTTTACGCTCTTCATTGTGTTTAGAACCTGATGGGATGACTTTGCGAGAATCCATCAGTGTAATAGACCTTGAAGAAATCCATTGGTTCTTTGTAACCCTGTGGTTTAAATCACTGATAGATGTCACTGCTGTTTGTATATCTTTCCAAGCAACATCTGGGTCAGCCTCGTTTTCAGAACTATCTAAGTGTGACCTCAGTTGTTCCTAGAACCTACTTTTGGTTTTCTCGCTACTCAATTCAGTTCTAATGGGTCTTTTTAGTGTGGCTTTTTTGCGTCCAGTGAGGCGCAAACAGATGCGTACTCGTATTAATGCATGGTCGGAGTCCAAGCAGGTACACCAGAATGAGCGACAATCTCCTACCGACCCTCTCGAACGATGACTGATGTCAATATGGTCTATTTGAGTCCATCGTTGATTTGGTGTAGGGGGTCGCAACAACGGTCGGGAACAATAATGAGTGGCCGAGAATAGTATATGATAGAATATATAGTTCAGTTAAAAATACAACCAGCAACACATCTCTCAGTTAAGCCACGTCCTCTCAATTTTCTATATGAAGAATGTAAAAGAAAGCTTCTGCAGGATCTCCATTGGCTTCTGTTTCCACTCACATTTGGTAATGTCTCAAGCCACTAAGTTGTATAATCCTTAGAATCCTAACCAGGGAGCAGTGAGGAACTGAAATGTCCCAGTCTCGTACAGTTTTCATTCATACTATGACATCGTGTTGTGAAATGACCACTTCTCCCAATGTTGTACCTCGCCCAGAGTCCGAAAATAAAGCACAACATGAAAATCGCTCAGATGATCTTCGCAACACATGTCCAAACCACCGAGGTCAGTGTTTCAAGATGGTGACACTAAATTGTCATCACTGATCCCGGATACACATTGTCGAACCTCAGCATTGCTAACACGGTGTTGCCATCGAATGTCACCACTCCTTCGAAAACAGAGAGTCACCGGACATCTTCAGCTAGGAAAGGTCAGGTTTCACAATCACGGGGCAGGATCGTTCTCCTCGACGCGTTGTAGACCGGATATTTCAGTCACACTAACATCATGAAGGCGCCAAAGATGAATCAGCTTGGCATAATCCACTCTGAATTTCACTATAAGTAGATTGATCTCATCGATCACGCCATCATCAACACACGCACAGCTATCCATATACACGAACCTTTAGACTAGTTATTACGGTTCGCAAAGAAATGCGAGTGACAGCACAAATAGTAAAAGTACTCAGCATTTAGATGTAGAGTAGCTCCCGTACTTACGGACACGGATTACCGATCGAGGAGAAAGGACCTGGATAGTTTTTATATCATCCTACGGTAAGACGATGTCATCTGCACACTGAAGATCGAAAAGTTAACATCTAAGTGGCACATCCGCACCAACATCATTACTACCATCAAGTACTTCGTTTAGAGCTAGTTCCAGAATGTCATCGTCGACAGAGTTTTACTAGATTTACTAGAATGGGCCATCTTGTATAACCCGATTACTGAATATGAATAATGGAGATAGATGATATGTCCTCATTTTGCCTGAGCTGTTTGCATACAGAGCTTTCAAGCTGGTAATAAGCGTATCGGATACACCTTTCCTCAACAGAAAATCCCAGTGTACAGTCCCGTCCAACGAATCGTAGCCGACCCTGATATTGAGAAACGCAAGGATTGTTGGCTTGTGACGACGACCTAACATTTGTTAGTGTAAAAATATGATTAATAACATCCACAACCAGAACGAAAGCCAGCCTGCTGCGCACGACTCAGACTTCCATTGGGTTTCGAACATTAGTTTGGACGCCATTGAAAGTAAACTTATCCCTGAACAATTGTCCCATAGAAGACAGGAGTAACGTTTGTTTCATTTTGGGATGTTAGAGCACTGTTTTCTAAACCCTTGCGAACTCAGTCAGTTCGGTGATCAGATGTTAGCCACCATCCTTAAACGGAGTTAATAGTAAGTCGTCTGAGTCTGGTGTTTACGGTGTTTCAGACGTTGAAGGTGCTTGCTAAACTTGTTGTCTGTAGGTGGATTACTTTTCATCGGCTATGGATAATAGGACAGCCCGGTCGATAGTCAACCGTCAAATTAACTGAACTGTTCTTCGAAGAACTAGACCGATTGCTTCAAGGACGATGGAGAGAAATTGAAATAACGTATGCTCACCGCTATTTACATTTATAGAAATTACAGTAATCGGTTTTTTTAAAAAGAAATGTTTCAAGAAGGGTTATTTAACATTTTTTACTTTGTTATCCTTTACTGAAGTTGGAAAGTAAACTCTATAATGCAGTCACACAGATATTCTCTAATGTTTTTTTATTAAAATGATTTTTGCAGTGAGAAAACTGAAATATTCATTTTACGTCGTACATTGTTTTACGCAGGCATAAAGAAATATTAAAATTCACCGCGGACAAGTCACTTGCACCCCACTAACGTAAAACAAAATAGTGACAAATTTTTTACTTGAAAACAATAGTTTTAAAATGATTACGGATAAATTTATTGCTCCTGTTTTGTTCAAATTCACCGATGAAGGTGAATGAATGAAGCTGAAATCTGATGAACTGCCTCAATTGACCCAAACAAAATAATGGGCACTAACAATATACTGAAGCAGTAGTAAAAGAATACAATACACTTTTCTACTTTTATTAGTTTCCAATAACTCAACAAAAAAAGAATATTCTGGAAAGAAAAGCAATGATCGAAAAGTAACGTGTTTAAGATTAGTATGAAAAGGTAAAAGTCCAATACATGACAGATATTGTGGGGCTAGTTGTCAACTAATATTGGTAATTTTGATCCCAGAAAATACTTCTCCTTTCCATTTGATCCAGAAGTTGATGGCCTACGTTGTGGCTGACTGACTGACTGATGGCCGTATTTAAGACCCAATGGATTTTTAGCTATGTATCTCATCACACTGAAACCATCAACAATGAAGGTTGTTTTTAGTATTGTTGATCTCTAGGAGTATTAAAATTTTAAATAGATTTCCGCATCATATTGCGTTCCTGGCATTTTGAACTTTTCCTGAACTCTTAACATTGACACACTAAACGGAATGTTATGGAAAATCTGACGGTCTCCTTATCCATAAAAACGAATACTGTAAAGAACTACGATACACCTTACGGAATCAGTGAGTTGATGTGGAATTCAAAAATGCAGTAAATATTGACAGCGTATAGTTGGTTTAGAAAACAAGTTAAATTTTAACAATTTGTAATTAACTTCTTTAGATGTACTTAATCCAAATATAAGACATTTAAAGTAACCGTTGGATCATGGCTCGTTAGCTTCAACGATAACGACATTCTAAGTAAAGAAATTATTTTATGATAAAACAATGGGAATTCAGTCATTACAAGATAAGGTTTGACATACTACTATTCACTTTTAAAACCAATTTTTGGCTTAATTATTATAGAAAAGTATTAGAAAAACTCACTTTTTTAAGGAATTTGTAACTAGAAGGTGTACATCAGTTCGTTCATCAAGTAGAAGCATTGCGCCCAAATAACCAACTCTTTTATCGGTGAAACGTGGAGAAGCAACCAGTTTTAAGCATTCGAGCTATAAACAAAATGGTAACAAATGTAAATCAGTAATTTTAAATCTCTATGCAATAGCAAGAAAGTTAGGATAAGCCATTCGATAACCACGCATGCATTCATGAACTGGTCTTAACTACAATAATATATCAAAGCTACAATACCAATCAATTGACAAAAAACAGATGGAGGATTTGAACAGAAAAAGTTACATAAGAAACCACGTTTATCATTCATGCCAAATGTCTACAATTGAGGATACTGAGTGAGAATTACTTGCAGAATAAGACTGGTGAAAATTCAGGCTGACTAGTGTAGTCAGAGCACAAAATTTGTTAACACATTCAAAGCGTATATAAACTACCAAACACATCATATATCTTCAAATCACGCGGTTAACACTTAAAATTTTTTAGACCTAAATGAAGGGTAATTGGTGAGAATTTTCAAAGGGATCGCGGAAAAATATATAAACGATCGGCAGCACATAAAGAAAACAGAAAGTTTAATCTTTATTTGGCAAACAACCCATCTGTTTTTAACATAGAACCCGGCACATATGTACATCGGTTTAAGTTGCGACATCGTATGAGAACAGTGAGATGCCAATTTAGTTTAGGTAGTAACACTTAAAGATAGAAGAAAACATTGGGCTCCAAAAGATACGATTAAGGAAGAAAATATAGATTTTTGAAATGAAAAGATTTTTAAGATAATTAAGAAGCTTGGGATTTAAGGAATCAAAAAGAGTGAATGCACCAGTGTCGTTGCAAACGATTCTGAACCAAGTCATCCAAAATACCTAACCAGTAGTTATGATAATCACGTGGACCCTAAGCAGAAAACCAGTACTTACCCATATGAGACAGTCCGACAGTCCGCGACTTCGTGGACAGATCCTGGGTCATTTTCGGCTGCCTCTAGCTTTCTTCCAACCTACTCCTTCGCTAATTATCACTGAGCATTGAGGTGGGCGACGGTTTGATATTGTAATGCATGTCTAAGCCATCCCAGACAATGAAGACTCACTATATCATCAATTAGCACCTGTAGGTAAGGTATATGCTTTGAATTTTCCAAGTGCCAAGTACTTTTACAAAAATGATAGGACGCTGAACCTGCATTCACTCTTAGTAGTGAGCAGATAGATGTAGTTGAGTTCGTGTATCAGGGTAGCTGTTTAAGTGCTGGTGGTGGTATGAATGATGAGATCAATCCACGTACGGTGAGAGCCAGAGTGGTTTACGCCAACCTGGGTCATTTTTGGTGCCTTCATGACGTTAGTCTGGCTGTAAAAGGTCGGATTTGTGTGTCGATGAGAGTATTTCTGTTGTGGTTGTGAAACCTAACCTCTCCGAGTTGAGGATGTTAAACGACCCTCTTTACTTGATCATCGTTATCCACAAAGAATATCTGACATCCAGTGGCAACACCATGTCAGTAATGCGTAGGTTCGGCTACGTGTGTCCAGGAATAGGGACGATACTTCAGTTGGTGTCACCATCTTGAAACATCAATCTCAATGGCTTGGACATGTTCTACGAATGCCGCCTCAGTGAAGTCTACATCGTGTATTATTTGTCGACGCCGGAACCAGTTTTGTGGTCAGTGGACAACATGGTGTCGTGGTATTAAAGGAAGCTGTACGTTTCACATTAACAAAGCACAACAGAGCGAATTGTTGCACAGTATACTCGTCCTTTGGTTGATAGATGAACAATTTCGACTGCGTTACATAAGATGGATGTTGACAAAAATCAACCCAATAGTCTAAGTCCAGGTCAAGGCTGGCTAAACTTTGGCGGGTGATAGTGATAATACCAGGATTGTTAAGTCGAAGTAAGCAGATCAGAGTTCGAAATTGCGACAAACTTTTACCAACCAGCGTTATTATTACCTAACATTTTAGACCAGAACCGAAGAGGACTGAACGAGGAGAATCAACATAAATCCATGAGGAATATGTACTGGCCAAGTTAATGGGAACAAAGAAAAGAGAGTAGAGTTTTAAGTTTAGTGAGTAGTCCTAGTTGAGGGAAGTTTTAGGCATTAATAGAATGATATTATCTTCACAAAAAAAACTGTATCCTGTTTGTATTCCAAACTTGCATTACCTTTTACTCGCAAGTTGTTTATCATTGGACTGTCAGTTGCTGAGACAATGAGAACAGATCCACATATTAATCAAGTGAAATCGGATAGGGTATATATATATATGAGAAATCAACCATTAAACTTAAGTTATAAATAACAGAAACACAATACGGTTCATGAAAATCATTTGATATAACTCAATGTCTATATGCAGATTTATGTACTTAACTGAATAAGCTTTTGCGTGAGGACCGATGATAGTAGTCAGCTGCCCGAACCGAAGTAGGTTGGAACAGAGTTTGAACATACAACCTGGCTAAAACACGAACGTGTCGGATATGATACTAACACCACATGGTATATATCACTTATTCTGCATTAAACTTTTGACTTTACATATCTATTTTCAAGATTTCAAAGCACGAGCACTAGTCAACTAAGTGCTAATGCTTACCTACGCCTGTTACTCCTCGTGTAAAAGCATAGGCAGCCCAACAGCATTCTCCACCCAACCCTGTCCTGTATAATCCTTTCCAGCTCTTTCCAGTTGTTATTCATCCTTTCCATATTTGCTTCTATTTCCCGACGTAACGTGTTCTTTGGCCTCCCTCTTTTCCGCTTCCCTTCAGTATTCCAAGTTGGCGCTTGCCACGTGATACAGTTGGGTGATTTCCATAATCTACGTCCTATCCACTTCCAAGTCTTTTCCTAATTTCCCCCTCAGCTGGAAGCTAGTTTGTCCTCTCACACAGAATGATGTTGCAGATAGTATCCGACCAATGGATATTGAGTATCTTGCGTAGACAACCATTTATAAATATTTGTACCTTCTTGTTGATGGTTGTAGTAGTTCGTCAAGCTTCAGCTTCATACAGTAGGACTATAAGTGAAAGTTTCCACCTCTTTTCGAGTTTATCCATCAAGTGTGATCGCCCACCAGCACTCTCCATCCAACTCTGTCCTCGGTAATCTCTTCCAGTTGATATTCATTCTCTTCATATCTGCTTCCAAATCTGGACACTGTGTTCTTTGGTCTTCCTCCTTTCTGTTTCTCTTCAGGATTCCAAGTTAGGGACTACCGCGTGATGCAATTTGGTGATTTCCGTAATGTGTGTCCTATCCACTTCCAACGTCTTTTTCTTATTCCCTCCTCAGCTGGAAGCTGATCTATTCTCTCCCACAGTAGGCAGTTGCTGATGGTTTCCGGCCAATGAACATTGAGTATCTTCCGAAGAAAATTGTTTATAAATACTAGTACCTCTTTGATGATAGTTGTTATAGTTCTCCATTTTTCAGCTTCTCACAGTAGGACTGTCTTGATGTTCGTACTGAAGATTGTGACTTTGATATTTGTTGACAGTTGTTTTGCGTTCCATATGTTCTTCAATTGTGGGAATACGGCCTTTGCTTTGCCGATCCTTGCCATCCTGCATCAGACCCTCCTTGTTCCTCGACTATGCTTCCCAGGTACGTGAAAGATTCCACATCTCCCCGAGTTTATCCATCAAGTGTGATTGGGTTGGTGTTCTCTGTGTTGTATTTGAGAATCTTGCTTTTTCTTTTGTGTATCTTGAAACCTACTGATGCAGAGGCTGCTGCTACACTAGTTATCTTCATTTGCATTTGTTCGTGTGTATGGGACAGAATAGCTAGGTCATCTGCGAAGTCAAAATCGTCTAATTGATTCTGATTTGTCCATTGTATTCCGTGCTTTCCCTTAGATGTCGAGGTCTTCACATTTAAAATTATAGTTACTCCATCCGTTCATTGGTTCTCCATAAATAAAATAAACTAGATGTTCAGTGAGTTATTACCAACTGTGAGTGATAAATGGATAGTGCTCGCAGACTTACTTGCGTAAATGTAGATGAATAAAACCCGTCACATGTAGCTAATAAAATAAAGTAACTAAAATATTAAATGTAAATTCCAAGAGATAACCAGAAAAGCATCAAATGAATAAGTTGAAAAATTTACCTGACCAAAATGTGCTGGGTAACCCAACATGTGAATGTATAACAATTTGGCCACATTACGACATCTGTAAGTGTTATTTTCTTCCCGAAAACTATCTCTAATTAAAGCACACTCCCTGTTTACAATTGCCCGTTCTTCAGCAGCAGTTCGAGCAGATCTAATGTCTCTCACCAACTCTCGCAACCGCTTTGGAGCCGGCATCTGAAATAAAAAAGTTACGTGACCAACTGTAGACCACTAGTGCATAAAGCGTTGAATCAACGATATTTTAAATAGTACAGCAAAAGAGCTGGTGCAGTAAAGCAATTATTTATGCTACTTGACTTGAGAGTATTACCAAGAGGGAAAACAAGGGTCGGAAGACTTGTAATATTAAAAAATAAGAATGGGTAAGAAATGTGGTAAAAGGCGTATAGCATTTGAAAGTTAGTCACAAACAATGTGGGATCAGTAAATATGTGGATATGACTTAAACTGGTAAATGAACAAGGGCTGTACAATAATCTCAAAATATGAAACAGTACATGTATGTGTCAGCGACATGTCAGTCAGTCAGCTACAACGTGGGATCAAGCACATATATGCAGCGACATGAATTGTCACTTATTCTGTTTCTATAACTACACTCATCTGAGTAGGAAATAAATTACCGTAAAAATGAAGCGATAAGGTTTTATTCCCCACGGAAACGATAACTGGATTAAAGCAAAGTAAACAAAAAAACGCTGAAAAACAAAATACGGAAACCACCATTTAGCTGTATATGTTATCAAATGCCCCTTTAAAATCATTAATATGATCTATATGGAACGGCGGCTTACTGCTTAAGGTGTCCGACTTTAATAAGTTTTTAGTTCTAACCCTGCTTCATGTACTTCGGTTTTGGCTTTTATTTTTAATTAACTTGGAACCAGACCACATAAAACCTAAAGTTGGAGAGATATGCAAGTTACAATATAGCGTCTAATAACAACATTCATTACTCTATGCTTAGTAAATGCCAGTACTTCTTATTTTTAAGTGGCATTCGTCAGACCAAACAAGCCAGTGAATAATGATATTCTGCCTATGGTGCAAACTCTAAAGTTCAGTTCCACTGAGAAACAACAGACTAAGCTCATAACTCGTGCATATCTCAAAACTGTTGAAGTGAATACAACTTACTAAAATGGTCTATGTTCCTTCTCTTGATACAATCACACAAAAAATAGAGGTTATATTCACTGAAACAAGATTGTCGCGTACTACTTCCACTAAAACGTCTGTGTGATTAGAGCAAAACATGTGTTCTTCGAATGGCTTTGATTTAAAATGAGTTTTAAACTACCACAATGGGTCTTATTGATAAGTGGAGGAACGTAAATTACTCCGATACAGGTACTGAATACCGACTGTTATCAAGTCTTTTCTGTACCGGCTAAAACTTAGTTTTTTTAGTTGGTAAGCTATATAAATCAAATAAGACTCCGTACAAGAAAGAAATCAAAGACAAATGATTTGTTTGACACAAAAATATTCCCAACAAATTGAAACGTCTCCAAACTCCTAACTCTAACGAAATGTTTGCTGACTTATGGACCTTTTATTTCCTTCCGTTTTGATATCATAAAACGTAAAATATCAAGTTTGCAGCTCCAACCTACTTTTTGCGTGTAAGATTTGGAGTTGATCAGCAGCTTAGGGGTCAGTCTGTGTCAGTTTTTCAATTGTTCTACGATTAAATACTTTCGTTGCTGCTAACATATCGAAATACGGTGCTGGAAAGATTATTCCATATAATTATCCTGATGATCCTGAGGTTATTTGTCATGCATCGAGGACACCCAAGAAGTAAGTAAAACTGAGTAAAGGTTCCCCTCAGAGTTTTGTGGATAAAGTTTTACAAAATGCTATGCGACCAAATTTTTACTTCATCCACTGACCTTAAAACACCTGTCGATGTTTGGATGTAGAGAACAATTTCAGAATTTCCTAAATAGCCGTCTCAAAAGATAGGTAGTTACTTCAATGTTTAAGATCTTTAACGGTATGAATCTACAAACACCTACTGCTTTAGTTACTGTATACACGTCAGTGTTAGTTTCGTGCTATCCCTTTAACTCTTTATTCCGAAAAAATCGTGCAGGAGAAACACAAACTCAGGCTACTCAATGAACAAGTTTTATCTAGTGAAAGGCATAACCAGATCTCGTAAACGATATCAGGATGGAGGAACACGGAAGTACATAAGACCGAAACCACGACAAAATGGGAATTAGTTACTATTCCTTCAGTACAATCTATTTACTCCGTAATGTGAATTAGTGTTGAGATGACACCAATGTTCTACAACGACGTTCCAATACCACGCAAATAGCTTGAAATAACTATATTTAAGAGAAGATATTTAACCACTGGGCAAAGATAATACTTAATCTCCCCAAGTGGCTCCACAACGACAATCGGAGAACATTACGGCGAACAAAGGTCCAAAGAACAACATCTTCCTATCTAGGCTGCTACAAAACTTCCAATGGGTGAATATCATTTTGAATAAGGTCACAGACGAACTAGCATACTTTGAAAGCAAATTCAGAAAATCATCAATCATACAAACTCAGAGAACTTCGTTCACTGAAACACACTTAGACCATAAAAACGTTACTTTACTACGATTTAATTATAATAAAGAAAACTCGAAACTCCACCTAACTGATACAAATCACCAAGAAAAAGTTATATGACAATCCGCCCAAACGTCGAGTAGTGACCACAGCGGCAAGCCAATAAACACCAACAATTCAAAGCTCAATATTTTACCCCATTCGAAAACCTAGTCTACAAGCTCTTGATTCCAGTTTTCACATTGTTTTGATCTTACGGTAGCGTTGTTGCTAATTGCTTTCAACTGATTCCTCTGTTAAATAATAGTTTGCTGAGTTTTCAGATGAAATTTTTTCTTGTCATTAACGTTTCACTTTTGAATAAACTGCTTTTTGAAGTACTCGTGTAAAGAAATGTTATGGGCTACAGTTTCGCTGTGCATTGTATACCTATGGAAACCTGTACTACTATATGCTAAATTTCTGTGCGTCAGATAATTATTAACCCATTAGCTTTCACACTCCTTTCTAAGTGTTATAATACATTGTAGTGACTCACATTTATCACGAGAACACGACTGGTTTAATAAAAACAATTATTATTATAACCAAGTGTACCAGTGACTGTTTTAACGTGCTTTTGTTTGACTGTGCTAATGACAGCTATTTTGTGCTTCCATTCTTTACTTACACTTTGATTGTAACTTCGCGCGAATTCGGTTACCTTCTGTAACCAAGGTTGTATCCTGGCACGATCTCGGTATCCTTTCGATGCCACGAGATCGCCAGCAAATAAACATCGACTTGGTCCATTAATTGCCTTCTGGTATTCGGCTTCTCGGGGATTTTATGGAGTCATTTGGAACGAGCTTCTTACGCCTTCTGATCTATTTGGCACGTATATCTTGGTAGCGGTGTTCATAGTTAATCTCAACTCGACGCCACGCTACAATTGGTAATCCCAATTCGACAACAATTGGTGACCCGTATTTTGGAACACGCCTCAGCTTCTGGTCAAATCTTCCAAAGAAGCCAATTCGGTGAGTCTATGGTTTATCTATCCACGTCTGTCGTATATTTTCGTATTATTTAATATATAATATACGCGACATGACGGATAACGATAAGAATAGTATTAATATAATAGACTCACACGTATGTGTACCGAATCCTTGTCACTTTTTATTCGCGTGATGATGAATTCCACGCTTTATTCGAGAAATGTTACCCTATTAACGATTCTCCTCGCTGACCCGGCTGCTTGGTACGGAATGCATACGCATAAGCATATCCGTCTACCACCCAGCACCGAATGGTTAAGTTGAACGGTTTCACTGCCAACTTAAAAGTGTTCTACGAGCACACGAAAACGGCAACTGGCACGAAACCTTACCGCTCGTTCTTTTAGGGTGAGAACGAGCTTAAAGGCAGATATCCAATGTTCCGCCACTGAACTTGTATACGGCACGACATTGCGTCTGCCCGGAGAATCCTTCACACCACGGAGCAGACCTAGTTTCGGTAAATCAGACAACGTCCGTCGACTGTCTGCATTTATGTGAACGCTGTCTCCGGTGTCAACTCGAATACAACATCGACAGGTCGCTCTCCCTCGAGAGTTATCTACCTGTTCACATGTTTTTGTACGAGTAGATTCGGTACGCAAACCTTGGCAACAACCTTACGAAGGCCCTTTTCACGTGATCGCTCGTCACGAAAAGACCTTCAAGGTTGATCGACATGGACGCGTCGAGATCGTCAGCGTTGATCGTCTCAAACCAGCACACGTCGATGACAGTGCCCTATCTGGTAACCTGAGATTCAATGCTAGACCTATTAAACCTAGCGGGATCCTTAAATCTTCAGGTCCCACGCTAGATGCATCTGAGACCTCATTCTCACGTCCCGGTCAACAGCACGCGTCATCTGCACCGTCTACGGACGAGACGATAGTCTCACGTCCAGATCAGCAGACCACGCCGCCTCTGACCTCGGATGAGATTGCAGGCTCACGCGACGCGAACGAGACTGCCGTCTCACGTTCCGGTCGCCGAGTACGGTTACCCGTACGCTTCCGCGAATAGTCGCACAGTCAATAACCGATACGGTGTAGGATTATTCCTATACTACACGTATGCTACACTCTTCTTTTTTGATTTTCTTTTTGTTTCCTGAGCCCACGCCTTCGACCATCTCCGTTTGGTTCCGTCGACTTCAGTCAACTTTGGCGAAAGCTGGATTGGCCACCCATGCTCTTGTCAACGCACTCAGTCGATATATTGGTTTCGAACGCTTGGCACACGCTTGGTCTCGAACTTGGTCGTTACGGTCGCTTCTGGTCTTTTGGCTCAACGTGGTTTCGTCCTTCGTCTGCAGCGTTCCTGGTCCGCACCCTACGAACGCCCTCTTCAGATTCTGGATACAAACCACTCTGTGTAGCATGCCAACTCGAGCAATCAATACAACACATCGCTCCTGGTACTGTTCTCCGAAAACGACCTTCGTTGGCAACTCGACGATCAACGATCGCTTTCCTGTTCGCCAATCTTTCCGTCCTACAATCGCTCGTCAGCCGATCAGTCCCACGATTCAAACCGCTATTTATCGAAAGTGTAAACCCTTTCTAGCGGGGGGCTCCTGTAGTGACTCACATTTATCACGAGAACACGACTGGTTTAATAAAAACAATTATTATTATAACCAAGTGTACCAGTGACTGTTTTAACGTGCTTTTGTTTGACTGTGCTAATGACAGCTATTTTGTGCTTCCATTCTTTACTTACACTTTGATTGTAACTTCGCGCGAATTCGGTTACCTTCTGTAACCAAGGTTGTATCCTGGCACGATCTCGGTATCCTTTCGATGCCACGAGATCGCCAGCAAATAAACATCGACTTGGTCCATTAATTGCCTTCTGGTATTCGGCTTCTCGGGGATTTTATGGAGTCATTTGGAACGAGCTTCTTACGCCTTCTGATCTAATTGGCACGTGTTTCTTGGTAGCGGTGTTCATAGTTAATCTCAACTCGACGCCACGCTACAATTGGTAATCCCAATTCGATTACAACATTACCAAAATCTCGGAAACATTCAATAAAAGCAGATTAGCCACTCAACTTCACTAATCTCAGTGAATTCGATGGCTATTTTGGGGTTGAGGAATCTTGGACCTAAGAGATGAGTTAGTCTCAGGAAAATAGGGTTGTTGAAACTGGCAGCTATCACGTTGCTGATTAGGTGACTGATAGTGTGCAGTATGAAAACTGTGGAAAAGGATTCAGTAGAATGGAGAGAGAACAAGGGTGAATTTCGATGGTTTGGTAGGTTGAGAAAAAATGCGTACGAGAACCATATGTATGTAGTAGATTATGTAGATCATATAGATGTAAGACTTCAAACTTTCATCTCAGATCATTCGATCAGTGGAAATGGGTAAGTACCAGCGCTAACCTAGCTGCATATTTTATGAAATTATACTTACCACAACTTTTAGAGATGAAGTCCCTATTCAGATGTTCTCTCCGAAATTCTAGAATCATGTTTAAAATTTAATCAATAAAAGTGCTATTTACCGTTAGCCCATTGTAATCCCAATCAACCGTTATTCATTTAGGTTTCCATATGAAGAAAAATGGGCCTGTATTTACTTCTAATTCATATGCACAGATGTCGGGGATAACCTTATTCATTGTTTCGGCATGATGATGACCAAACAGTGAAGGGTGATCTAATCATAATTTTCAGCCTACAGAATAGTCTAGGTCACACGTAGCTTATTCCCACCTGATAGCAGTGGTGGGAATATACAAAACTTCAAGTAATCTCAAAGCTAGGAACAATCACTCAGGAGTGATCTAACCATTATGTACACAGAGTTGTGGATTGTACTCTTTCATCTGAAACAGTATTTCGTGACAAACACTGAGTGACTCTGCCCAAGTCAGAAGCCTTCTAATACTCCATGGCGCACATTGACTAACAGGGGAATCAGACACCGAACTAGTGGTTTTTAACCGATGCTCTAAAGTCGACAATAATAGGAGCGTTAACAAAGTAACAACTCAGCTAGTGTTAAGAAAGTTATTTAGACTGAGATCCAGCGAGTCAATGAGCACGACGATACAATATCCTACGATAATGAGCAGCTGAACAGACCCTCTTTCATCAACTAAGCAGTCCATGTCAAAAAATTTTCACTTCAAGTAGTTATCAAAGCAATAGAAAGAGTAGTCCTCTTCCCAATTTTCAAGAGAAGGAACAGAAAAGACTAAGGCTTTTCACTGTTTATTATGTTGTTAAAAGTGTGCAAAAAGTTGGTGAGCGACCAGATGGAGAATCTTATCAAAAAACAGCATCTTAAATGAAATGCAACATGGCTTTAAGAAATGCATATTCTGAGTCTCGTCATCTGGAAACATATCTCATATGTATTTTTATTTTCTGCCTTCCATGTTAGCAACGAGAAAAGTAAATAAAAATGTGTTTATTAGACTTTCGCCTATGTCCGTGTTGGCAAAGGATGGTCACAATTCACGTTGCACCAGGTTTTCCAAATCAGCAAATTGCAGTATTCCGTATGGAACTATCCGTAACAACAAGCAATTTATTTTTAAATATGTTTGCCCGAGTGTTCCAAAGAAACTAAGCAGTGGTCCTGGCTCGAAAGTGTAACTGATAGACGAATCCATCAAATACATTTGTAGTGGCATTGGGCTTGAACCACACAATCCTCAAAACTGGACACGAAACAGCGAGGAAAACAGATATTCAATATTTAAAACGGAGAAAAACCTAACGATGGAGAAGGTGGGAACCGTGCGTTGAATTGATTAGAATTGATCGGATGGCATGGCTTGGCCTTGCGGGCGTGGTCTTACTTATGTAACATTATTTTTATCCATACTAAATATATAGTTCTATCTCCAGTTTAAATGTGTTTTCCATGTATTGATGATTGTAACAACGCGATGAATCAGGGTAGACAATGATGTGACTTCCACTTACGGTCTTATAGATTAGACAGTTAAATCATAACAAATCTACAATTTTAGGATTAGGTCTATTATTAGGGCAGTACTAATGTTGAAGTAGACCATAATTTTACAAATTCTTAGACATCCACCACTTT